GAATGAGAATTGCCAGGAGGCATTCGAGAGTCTCAAAGCAATTCTGATCTCTGCTCCAATCCTCAGGTCCCCGAGCTTTGAGGATAGATTCATCCTGACGGTCGACGCCTCTGACTATGGCCTGGGCTCCGTTTTATCCCAGACGGACGAGAAGGTGGAACACCCGGTGGCCTATCATTCTAAGAAGTTCACCCCCAGCCAGCTTAATTACTCGGTCATAGAAAAGGAAACGTTGGCCTTAATTAATTCCGTCCAGCACTTCGAGGTATATTTAACAAGCAATGGCCATCCTATATTAGTACGGACCGACCATAACCCTCTGAAGTTCCTGGCTCAATTTAAGCAAAAGAACCTCAGGCTCACCAGATGGAGTCTACATTTGCAGCAATATCCCCTCCAGATTGAACACATAAAAGGGGTGGACAACGTGGTAGCTGACGCATTATCTCGTATCTAGATCCACGTACTAATTTGGTTTGTCTTCTCTTTTTATAGGAACCCAAACCAAATTCTTTTGGTGGGGAGGTGTTACGGACCCTGATCCAGCGTCCAATCTCTAAACAGTGACGGCCGCGCCATCTGTGGGTCAGCTCCCGAAACCCCCTCCAAACCGACGACGTGTACTAGCTACGAGGGCCAGTTTCCAGCCCCGTTCAGCGCTCAACGCCGCCGCCGCTGACCTCTGGTGAGGTGGTGCTCAGACTACAACGCCGTCTATGGAGTGGATATGTCGGGCGTTTGTGTCTGAGCCTGTAAGTGTGGTGTTTTAGTGTCCCTGTTATTGATGACGTGTCTGCTTACAGAGCCGACCTGGGACCACTGTGTTGAAGGTGAAGTCAGTCTACCCGAGGCAGCCAGTCTCCATACTGTGAAGTTTGCTGCAGCTGTCGTGACGTCGTCCCCCCGGAAGAACACTGTGGTGTGTTAAGCCTGCCAGTGGAGTGGCAGTGGAAGGATTTACCCGGGACCGACGGTTGGAGACGATAATCCACTGGGGTATTGAGGACAGGAGGGTGATTGGTGATATCACACGAGACTCCTGTCTAGGGCGTACCCCTTTTATCGTTCGTGGAGTGGCCGTACCAGCCTTGGTGGCTCAGTACCTGCCAGCAGACCTGCTGGACGTGTGGTTGACGGCCTCCACGACGGTGCCCCCAGTGGACCTGTGTTGTGGCTGACCTGTGGCCAGGGTAGGCTCGGCGTTCTCAGAGGACACGTCTTGAGGCCACGAAGAAAGCACCGCGGACTCGGCACCTAGCTTCGAGGATCCATAGTCTCCAGCAGAAGACTACAGTGTTGATCCCCTTTGTAAAGTGTTAATACCCCTCCCCCTTGTGTACGTTTTACTTTTATATATTTAAATGGTGATGGTGAACATTATATTATATTAAGTTCTTAACTTTCTTTCCCTACTCCCTTTTAAGTTACTTGCGTCACGGATCTCATCCCTTGATAGCCACTACTGGCTTGGGAACGGATACCTATATCTTCCTCTAACAACATCAGAGTGAGAACCCCGTTGCGTCCCGAGAGGGCCGTAACAGTACCACAGGAGGGTGCCACTGGAGGGTGCCACTGAGGGGCGTCACTGAAGGGTGCCACTGAAGAGTACCACTGGAGGGTGTCAATGGAGGGTGTCACTGGAGTGTGCCTCTAAAGAGTGCCACAGGAGGGGGCCACTGAAGAGTACCACTGATGGGTGCCACTGGAGGGTGCCACTGAAGGGTGCCACTAGAGGGTGTCACTGAAGGGTGTCACTGGAGTGTGCCACTGAAGAGTGCCACAGGAGGGTGCCACTGGAGGGTGCCACTGGAGGGTGCCACTGGAGAGTGCCACTGGAGGGTGCCACTGGAAAAAATTAAAATGGGACGCTTCTGTTATGTATTACACTACTATTTTATCCGTCCACCCTCTTATCATCATGATCGTGTGAACGGTGAGTCGTTGACCGTGTGAATGATAGGTCGTTGACCGTGAGAATGTTAGGTCGTTGACCGTGTGAACGTTAGGTCGTTGACCTTGTGAATGTTAGGTCGTTGACCGTGTGAATGTTAGGTCGTTGGCATATTGCTTCGTAGATAATTATAACATTGCGTACACACATAAATCAGAATAGTGTGATGCATCAAATGAACAAATCCACAAGGGCCGTGATGAAGGTTCGAACCTACGACCGGGACGATCTCATACCCGCCTCAGTCTTCTGCGCCACGACATGGTAAAATAATTGCAACCTGGAGTGCTAATGCCCCCACGAGGCTCCCGCAGCTTCTTTTATCATGTTGTGGCACAGTCGACTAAGACACGTCTGGGATAATCCCGGACGTAGGTTCGAGCCTTCATAACGGCCCTTGTGGATTTGTTCATAGCATTTAGTAGTTGACCATTGAAATGTTAAGTAGTTGACCACGTGAATGTTGAGACGTTGACCTTAATAGTGTTGGGACGTTATCCACGTGAATGTTGGGACGTTGACCACGTGAATGTTGGGACGTTGACCTTGAGAATGTTAGGACGTTTATCACGTGACCACATAGTCCAGGGACGTATATCACGTGACCACATGGTCCAGAGATGTCTATCACGTGACCACATAGTCCAGGGACGTCTATCATGTGACAACATAGTCTAGGGACGTCTATCACGTGACCACATGGTCCAGGGAAGTCTATCACGTGACACCATGGTCTAGGGACATTTATCACGTGACCACATAGTCCAGGGAAGTCTATCACGTGACCACATAGTCCAGGGAAGTCTATCACGTGACACCATAGTCCAGGGACGTCTATCACGTGACACCATAGTCCAGGAACGTTCACAGCTTCTGAAGTCTTGCGGTGAGAAGCTCTAATCCCAGGATGACCAGACTCACACTGAGTCCACCAACCAGTACTGCGAACATGCCCTGAAATACACAAATTTGCCTGTATGATGTATATATATACGGTAAAGTATCAATATCCAACGTCACTTGAATGATGGACTTTCAATGGAATTGCATTATACCCAAAATTATCTCTGACTGATGTATGGCTGTACTGTATTAATATATAATGTTGCCTGTATGCCTGACACACATTTGTAAAGTATTAGTTCACAATGGAATATGATGGAAATATACAGTTGTAATTTATACATAAATGCTGAATAATAAATACTAGTAATTACATACGCTTCAGCAAGGTGGTGTGGATATAAAACATTGGGAACTATACACTACCCAGAGGTTGTGGAGACCGAGGGAGGTGTTAACTGTGATCTTAGTGGGCGGGTATGCACAGGATGTTGCGTTGGGCATGTAGGCTTCCGTCCAGTGGTCGTAGAGACCCGTCTGTGTGACCGTCTTGATGCTACAGGGGTATGAAGGCCATTGTATTACAACAGCTATCAATAACAATAACACATCGTATATAACATCCATATATGTTATGCTGCATAAACATAATATCAGCTTGGTATAACTGCAGTACCTCTTTTCACTTTTACTTAACAATATATTAATGTAACTTTAAAAATCCTAGTTAATATATTTTACGAATTATAACCTTCAAGGCTAATTTGTAATGGTTTCAAATTCTGAAGAATTTAATAAACATTTAACAGTTATAGTATTATTTTAACTGAAGCAGTCTCGAGTCGTTTTAGTGATCCAACAATAAGATTATTAATTTGATTATTGGAGCCCAAGGTAGCCACAAGGTAGCCCAAGGTAGCCACAACGTAGCCATAAAGTAGCCCAAGGAAGCCAAAGGTAGCCTATGGTAGCCCTAAGGTAGTACAAGGTAGCCACAAAGTAGCCCAAGGTAGCCACAACGTAGCACAATGTAGCCCCATGGTAGCCTAAGGTAGTCACAAGGTAGCTAAAAGTTGCCACAAGATAGCCCGAGGTAGCCATAGATAGCCACAAGGTAGCCATAAGGTAGTCCATGGTAGCACAAGGTAGCCCAAGATAGCCACAAGGTAGCCAAAAGTAGCCACAAGGTAGCCAAAAGTAGCAACAAGGTAGCCAAAAGTAGCAACAAGGTAGCCAAAAGTAGCCACAAGGTAGCCACAAGGTTACCTAAAGTCTGCTAATCCCCAAAAAATGGGGAGATAAATGTAACAGCACAAGTAAGTGTAATTATGAACTATTCCTAGCAGTCAGGAATTGTACTTATTTCCACTTAATATTAAACCATACTGCCAAATATATTGTGAATATTTTGAGTTTACCTGAAAAGCTGAATAAAAAAACCTCAACCAAACCTAACCTTCTTAGTTTTTGAAGATAAGCATTTTATTGTTTCTTAATTACAATTAGTAATTATAACCTACAGCTATAGTGATATTACACTTTCATAAAACAAATAAAACAAAACTAAAATATTTCAATAAATTGTAAATTAACTCAGGATATTTTAAAATTTTGTATAAAATCTCTATTGTTTAATAAAACTGAAAAAGAATTTCCTGATATATAAAACTTGTGTATAACGAATTTCACTAGTAAACTTCATCCTAAAATTCTGAGTGTCTTAACAGAAGGAAAATAAATAGGGAGGTAATTGTAACAGCCCCATAAGTGCAATTATATACTATGTATGACAGTCAGGAAATGTACTTATTACACTTAGTATTAAACCGTACTGTCAATTCGGAGGATGGGTTGCCAAAAGTAATCACAAGGAAGCACAAGATAGCAAAAGGTAGCCTCAAGGTAGCACAGGATAGAAACATGGTAGCCCAAGGTAGCCACAAGATAACACAGTACATTAATAGGAGAGGGAATAGAACACTGGCGAGTACCTCCGGCTGATGACGGCCACCAGAGGGCTGTCCTTCTGACCCACCATAGATGACATGAAGGGCAGGAATCTTGCCTCTGAGGAGTAGAAGTCACATCGCCCTGTCACGAGAAGAGCTAATTGTTAAGTAGAATACAATACATTCATCAGTTAATCAGTAAGTAAAAGTACCAACATAGATTCATTATGCCATCACATATTGAGGTTAATTAAAATATTGCCTCTCACATCATACATAAGTACATGCCTCTACAGATTTAATTTGAGAGGAGGAGTTTAAGTGAACAACTATTGATTGGCTTTTAAGTTATACGAAAAGTCACTAGATGATTAACATATATGAAGAGTTTTAAGCGTGTGTGGAGAGGCGGCAGTCAGCACCTGTACGCGAGAAGTCCTGAGCCATCAGCACCTTCTCGTAGCGGTCCTCAGCTATAAGGACGTGGTGGCCTCGCCTCACATAAATGTCCACACTACTGGGGAACTCCGTGCTCGTCACGTACTTAATGCGGCCCTTCTTCTCGGAGTCGGCGATCTCTCGGAATATGCCAGATTGCACAGCCTATAAGTATTGAATACAGTAAAATTTCATTTGCGAAATCAAGTGAAATTACAGTGAATTCTTTCATTTGTATCACATGATATATATGATTCACTGTATAATACAGTGAACCTTGTATACAGTACTGTGAATCATAAAACATATCGAGACAGGATTAATGTAACTTGGGTAAAAGATTAAGAATCTTGGGGAAAAAATCACTGACGAAACAGATTATTGAATGCATATATGTAAATTTGCGAACGATTCTTGAATCAGCATCTGATGAATAAAAGTTGTGTTAGTAATCATCAGCATCTATGGAACACAAGTTGTACAACGAATCAACATATCTGAGCACGATTCAGGAAACATACTAGCCCTCCATGAAACCTGAAAAGTTTATTTCTCTATAATATAGCTGCTAAATTTAGAAAATATGAAGCCAAATAGCGTCACAGACCTCCATTCTCTGTTAATCATGAATGTTACCATCATGTATTGAACTTCTACAACAACCACATCAATACTGAAAAGCCTGGTTGACGTAAGCCAGCATTTACTGCTCGTATTTTATTCATGTTGTTAACAATGATTAAAAACTCACACGGTAATACTGGACGTAAGCATTGTTGGCTTCCCATATCATGGTGACTGAGGGGTCGTCGAGGACGTCCCTAAGGGACTGGTAAGGTTGCGGTATGTACCGCACGGCCAGGTACGACATGAGGTTGCCAGCATAGCTCTTCGATATGACCAACATCGCTATCAACCAAGTCGCTAACGTGAGCCGCTCCCACATGAGGTCCGGAGGTAGCGGAGGACTGTCTGTCCAGGCAAAACATTACATATTACCATAGTATAATATGACGTAATTACTGAGGACTCATTCTCGTGAAGTAAATGGTTTAAATTAAAGTTTGCCATGAGGGGCGAATTTGTTGGGCAGCGCCATTTATCCTGTGAGTGGACACACCGCCATAGCAGCATGTATAACACTCCCCAATAGGAAGGAAACCCTTCCTATTGGGTTGTTCATCCTGTCACTTGTATCCAGACACAGTCGGGACTTGCTTAACTGTCTCAAGTGAACAGCTTCTCAAACAAGAAGATTAACATCTGTCAACCCTTAAAAGTTTACGTTATCTTGTTGGTGCAGAATGGGGAATCTTTTAAGAACAGTATCAATATTTGACAAATAGTGTTTTCCTAACTCAAACAATGTGGGGTTTATTATTCTACACATACTTCTAATGTTTCTCAGGTGTTCACATTCACGTAGATAGTGGTCAAGGCGGTGTCCATCACTCTCATCACAGATTCTGCAACTCCACTGCTACACTGTTGTTTCCATTCCTAATCTCAATGGATATTTGTATCCAAGACGGATTCTTACTATTACTGATTCTCTCCCGCGTCCTCCTCCTCTTCGTCCATAATGACTGGGATTGCCAGCTGCAACCACATCCCACCAAACACACACCAAAACTACGACGTTGGTACAACGTTGGAATAAGTTTTAACACCTCCTAACCAGTTATAACAACCAATATAGCAAGTTGTAACAATGTTCTAATATGTCATAAACACGTTAAGCCAAGATGTAATAACTTTATTACATGTTGTAACAAGCAGAAAGTAGAGACAGTTTCGGATTGTTTTTCCAGGGATTGTACCATCGTACAGATTCACTGGTTTGTGCTTCTATCCCCCTTTCCTCAGTTACCTTGTCACGATGATGTTGCCTGACAATGCCTCTAATTTGAAGAAGAGTCTTGGGTATGAAGTATTCAATATGGTCTCCTTCAGCGCCATCAGCAGCCAGCACATCTGCTAGTTCATCCCCACATACTCCAACATGGGAGGGGATCCACAGAAACTAGATGACTCTTCCCTGATTGGTAAGTTCTCTCACAGCTCACTTAATTTAAGCGACTATTGCAAGATTTTCTGCCTGATTTTTACTTAGGCTTTGCAGTGCTGCTTTTGAATCAGTGCAAATCACTGCACCATTAGTTCTGTTCTGTTCAAAAAACCTTAACGCCATAACAATTGCAGTTAGCTCTGCTTGTGTTGAAGAGACATAGTTCTCGATACGTGCTTTTTCTTCATTTCTGCATTGGGAAGCATTATCCTTAAGTATGGTGTATGCTGCACCAGCCCTGCCATTGACAGGTTTAGATGACCCGTCAATGTAGATTTTATCTAGTTCATCTCCGGCTTCTCATACTTGTTCTCATACATACTTGTTCTCATACATACTTCTTCTCTACTTGTTCCTCATTTCTTATGGTATCATGTTGGATTTTTTTGTTGCCATTTCATTGATGATAATCCTGCATGAGTCATCCTCCCAGGGAGGTAACCTCTCTAGCAGACTGATCTGTGGTGCCATTTTTGCTTCTCCTGTTTCCACCTGTAAGTAACATAGAGTTCAGTTTTTTCTTAGCAATATCATTGTAAAGGGGAATTTCTGGCTATCCTAATTTAAATCTTAGCATTCAGTTCCTGAAGGGGGCATAATCTGGTTAAATTAAAAGTTGTTCAATTTGTTTAAAAATTTATTTATGAAATGGTTATAGAAAGGGCTGCAACTGGTCCAAGTTTCACCATCACACCCTAAACAGAAAAGGAGAAAAAAATACACAACGTATTATGCAACGAATTTTCAACATTTTCCAATAATCTCAGGGAACACATGTGTCAACTAAAATGTCTACTATGTGCTGTAGAAGCACAAACTCTTGTAATAATTGTAATATGTTTGTGCAGGATATATATATGTAATTTTTTTTTTTTTTTTTGTCAATTTTTTTTTTCGTTTGTTATTAGGGGATGTGCATGGATCTTGCACACCTTGCTCAATGGATGCCTATCTGCAAGGGTGCCAATTATGAACGAGATCTGTCGAAGTCAAGCTCAGCTACAGGTGGCCGAACTTTGATCTATATTTTACTCAGGTAAGTCATTTACAACTTCAAAGTACTTCATAGCTTTCATTTATTAATCAATTTACATGCAAATTACTCCTTATATGTAGAGCTTGTGCTTCTACAGCACATAGTAGACATTTTAGTCCAAAGTCCATTTGTTGATTTTATAAAAATTTATAAACATCATATATTGCATATTTTTGGAAGGGTAACTTTGAATAATTATATTATTGCACTAAACACTTTTTTGATAAAACTACTCACAGCAATCCTTTATTATATGCTAATTTTATTATCTGAGTGTTATAGAAAGGATTTTAGTTGACACATGTGTTCCCTGAGATTATTTGAAAATGTTGAAAATTCGTTGCATAATACGTTGTGTATTTTTTTTTTTTCCTTTTCTGTTTAGGGTGTGATAGTGAAACTTGGACCAATTGCAGCCCTTTCTATAACCATTTCATAAATAAATTTATAGGCAAATTGAACAACTTTTAATTTAACCAGATTATGCCCCCTGAATTCTGCTGTTAACACTGGGGAGGGACAACTCCTATGGTAGATTAGACGTTTTGGCAGTTCTTGGAACTCCAAGAATGATTGAACAAATCCTCAAGGGCCGTGACGAGGATTCGAACGTGTCCAAGAATGATTGTCATGGCTACATTTTAAATGCTTTCGAGCCTTTTCATATCGCTTTGGGAGTAGGTGCACAGAACTGGTGCGGCATAGTCTATGACGTAGCACACATAGGCTGTGTACATCATTTTGAGCATGGCAATAGAGGCTCCATATCCATTCCAAGTCATAGCTTTCAGTGCCCTGAGTCGACTTTTGCATGTTCCTATGAGTTGATTGAGCTCCTCTTTCTTTCCCTTGTTAGAGCCGACAGTGACGGCAAGGTACCGATAGTGGTCAACCCATTCAAGTGTTATATCATTAATTTTTAGTTCTTCATTTTCAACCTGCTTGTGATGAGAGTATGATTTTGTCTTGTTTGTGGAGAGAGTGAAACCGAGCTCAATACATTTCCTTCCGAGGAGTTCAATGGACTATTTATTTTTTTCCAAATTGAGAGCTTGTATTAGAACATCATTTGCATATCCCACTTGTTGTGTTCCTTCCGGGAAATCAATATTTGCAATGGCGTTCATAAGTACATTGAATAGTGTGGGGCTTAAGACTCCTTCTTGGGGGGAACCGAGTTCCATATTCATTGATCTTGAGATTGCTCCATTGAAAGAGACCTTGACTTTCCTACCTGTGAGGTAGTCTTCAATCCATTTCATGAGTCTCCCCTTGACACCCATGCATGCAAGCTCGTCCAGAATCGTAATCCCCTGCGCTTTGTCGAAGGTTCCTTTGATGTCAACAAATACAGAATACTTAGCTGTGTCATTAGCCAGGTAATTAACTATACATTTTTCTGTGCTCCGTCCTTTAACAAATCCATTGACCCCCTTCCCCTAACCTGTCTGTTTTGTGCAACAGTCTGTTTAGGTTGATCCTTTCAAGCATCTTGCAAGTGCATGACATGAGAATGATAGGTTTGTAATTGCGAGGGTCATTGGGCTTCAGTATTGGGACAATTATTGCATGTTTCCATTGTGTGGGCAACACTCCACTTAGGAATGATTTGTTAAACAGGTGGAGTAGTGGATTCCCAGACACTTCACACAGAGCATTGAGTATGTCGTAGGAGACGCCATCCTCACCAGATGCTGTACTTATACCCTTTTTCATAGCCCCCTTTACTTCCTGGGCTGTGATTGGTTCCCCCATACTTGTCAACACTAGATTGTGCTCTTGTTATCTTAATCCTTCTGTCATTATTTCGCAGGAGTTGTTCCCTGCTTACTTCAGCAGGGAGGGAGGAAGATGATGCTACATCACTCCACTTGTGAATTAGTTCCTCAGCCATACCCTGGGGGTCTTTGTGAGCCGCAGGCCGGGTTCTTCCCCCCTTAGCTATCTAAATTTTTGCCCATACTTGGCTTGCAGATGTTTTTTTTCCAATGGAGCTGGTAAATTCAAGCCATTATCTTTCCCGCTCTCTAATTTCTCTTCCCTGGCTACTTGACACACAGTTTTAAACAGCTCTTGGTTGCTGTCAGTGGGATGTCTCCGGTACTCTCTACTCATGCTCCTAGCATTTGCATTGAGCATCTTTATGTAATCGTTCTCATACCATGTTATTTTCTTCTGATGGTTACTGCTCCCAGTCGTACGGCGCGGAACTCTGAGACAGTGCTTAATTTTGTTATTAAGGTCATCAACAAATATATCAATATTTTCTGGGATTTGGTATCCCGTGTACCAGTCACTCATCCTATTTATGAAATGCGGCTTCATATCTGGTTAGTGATAACCTTTTTCTTTTATTCGTCTCTTTCTTTATCTTGCTCATGTAGACGGTGATAATCAGTGTCCAGTGGTCACTACATAAACTGTGCACAATGTGTGTACTGGCATCCGTGTACTGTGCATTCAGCAAAAGAGCAAACTCTAATCTTCCTCCTCTGAGGTGAGTTGGCTGTTCATCACCCAGGACCCTAAGGTTTTCACTTCCCCTGACATAGAGGGACAGTTTCCGTCCATTGACATTGGGCTGATGACAGTTGGCACCAAAGTGTGGGTGTCTGGCATTTAGGTCACTGACCAGCAGGGTAGGTTCATCATTAACAAATTCAGGTTGTGTGTCAAGGTCAAGTTTACTCTGTGGCACATGTAGGTAAATTATATGTAGGGCATTATTGTTTAAGTGAAGGGTTACCCCCAGTGACTCATACTCATCACCCATGTGGTCATCAATAATCTGTGCAGGAATGTTGTTACTTACTAAGGTAGTGAGGCCCCCCAGCTGGAAGGGAGAACTTCTGA